AGCCGTCATTCTGATAAAATTAGCTTTGGCCAGCATCCGAGAGCGTCTCATTAAGTATACTCCACTATGTGGCCGATGATCCTCAAATTCCACTAATGATGAGAAGACCCGAACGGAGAATTGAGCGGTCAGTTGCTTTTACCTTTAAGCTACCTGAGCCACCCTAGATGAAAGTTTGAAGAGATTTTACAGTTATAATTCCAAAGGACCTAACTTGTAAAGTTAATTGGTCAATATGAGGCAGCATTCCTATAGGCGCATAAGATCGAGCCACGCACGGGCTCGGCTTGGCGATGCTTTCAGAGGTAGTAGTTCCTTCTACACGCAGGGAATTGGTGATAGTGCAGGTTGCACGCAAGGTGATTCATTTGCCAATGAAAGGCAAAGTACTATCCTTGAGGTAAGTAGTGGCTCCGGCCCGAGATCTAGCTTCATATCAGCCATATTTGGCCGTTCAGCTGTCATACAGCAGTAGTAGACACAAACAGGACTCCCGCAGGCTCTCTCCCCCACCTGAAGTGACTCCGAACGTTAATGGATCCTCCTGATCCAATCATCATATTTATACGGTCAGCATTGTCGGTGTGGCGCGGCGAATCTGGTCATGATTGCTCGGTTTCCGTAGACGCACAGTCATTGAATGTTACATGTCGGCGATTGTTAGTAGAGCAGAAACATGGTATTGACAATGTAACTAATCTCTTAACATGTTGTGTTATGGGCCAGCTGTTTGCATAGATACTTATTCACTATTCTTAGTATGTAGTATGTTACAGTCTCCCAATTTCCCTTGTCTTCACATTGTGCTGTCAACCACACTATCAGCTCAAGAGGCCAGCCTCGACTACCTGATTCCCTTCCATGTTCAGCTGGCAATCACTCACAGGAAAAGAAATTAGACAGCGGTGCAAGGTGCTCGCAGGTAATGGTTCGCAAGAATGGCTGGCAACACGATGGCATCATAAAGGAGGTCAACGACACGATCCAATACAAGGATCAGTGTGAATATGGTAGAATACAACTAGCAGTTCTAGTCCACCTTTGCTGCTTCATGATATAAGATGCTATCTCGCGAGTTACATCTATACAATGAGATGCGTATTGGAAAGTCTTCTGGTTCTCTTTCAACGTTATACTTCTACAGTTTCTCCTTCGGGTTCCTACTCCCGGACTTCGTTGGCCGACTAACATAGTTTCACTAGTACTGCGTGTTGTAGAGCTACGGAAGGACACAGTTTTGGATGACAGCATATTCCCCACGAAGCCGTGATGATGCATTCTGAAGGCATTGCGGTGCTTGTAAGTCCGTGGTCGCTCGGGGTACTCGCTGTGAGCAGGGAATGTGGGGAGAAGGACAGGAAAGGAGGGGAATAAGAGGGGGGGGGTTATACTCTACAGAGTCGTGCCTCAGGACCATGAAACCAGTCACGAGACACAGAGACTAGAATTAATGGCACAATGCTCATGCCTATTGCTGGCGCTCGACCTCAATCTGTGGTCGCGCCCAATACGAAGAATTTATACAAAGCAAGTGTACTTGATGATGTATACACAATGACTACGGATGCGCCATACAAGTTTCTTTCAAGGTAGATTGATCATCCCAAAGTTCAGCTCCATAGTTCAGCTGCTGGAGTCCCCGAATGAGTCCAAGCACTGGCGTGGCGAAACTACCACAGAGTCATATAGCGCCTTCGACGATCGGACACCCCACTGTGCAAATTGCAAAGTAGATCTTGGGTTTTGAGCGGCCAGGTGCTAAAATAGTAGTATCATACTAGTGCGCCACCCGAACGGTATGGTCAAGTCTGTGCGGTAGATCGCCGACTCGGAATGTATTTCCTTCTTGCCTGGTCACCCCCTGACTACTGACTTTATTTACCTAGTTTGTAGAGGTTGAAGCGATTGCAGCTGGATTGAACTGATATTAGCCCCATATATCTGATGTTTCTGTATTTATTAGGAAATACTAGTAGCCATGAGTATCTTCCTGACTGAAAGAAATGTTGGTAAATGCCTGCGGGATGTTGTAGGAAGCTAATTGTTGAGACGGAAAGATATTGGTTGTCTCGCTATCAGGCGCTGCGGAGCGACGCGGAGCTGGAAGAGGGGGAGGGGAGCGTGGTCCCGTCCAGTGCCCTAGCCTTGTGGCTATCTACGTAGTATCATGGTTTCGATCTATTTTCTGTATCAATTTGGCCAATCTGATGCCAGGATTCATCCAGTTAGACAGGTGCTTCAGATGAACGTCGTGCAGAGATGCGTTTTGCGAGTTTGCGCAGGCAAAAGCAAGGTTGGAGAAAGGGTCATTAAGAACATTCGATCCCACGAGGCCCTTTTGCCTCGCTGGCCATAGAATAGCTAACTAGCTATAGACTGTTCTTCCTTGACACCTAGCAAATGGAGATATGAGCATCATCCCCCATCCAGGAAAGTGTTCTCCAAACCAAAGATGCGGAGTGGGGATGTCCGATCGTGGAAAAGCAGTTCCGTTTGCGATCAGTCAGCGAATGGCTCCACGGGAATCAGCACAATATCTTCACGCTATCTCAGCTCTATCAGGCTACCAGCCGCAGTAGGGACCACTTCAAGTAATAACTGGTCAATGAATATTGGGCGGTTGCTGGTACGTATTTGGACTCTACAAATGACCATGCAGACTCTGCAGCTAGCTGTATTTGGACTATTATTTACCCCTATATCTAAATAGCAAGCTTTCTGTCTGTTTCGAATATACAAGATCTATATGGGCTTCTGCCTAAGTAGTTGCCTTAGTAGCTGAAGAATAGTAGCCTTGGTAGGCTTTACAGGACAACACTTCATCAAAGTGGCTGATTCTACACCAGCCATTCTCGAATAAACAGAACTGATTAGCCTGTATGGCCCTACGTAGGGTTCAAATAGGGCTGCCTTTGTCTACTAGATTAATGGATGCTACAACATTGGCTACCCTACAATCGAACACTTGTAAGATAGCCAAATAAAAACCCTAACCCCCTAATGCTGAGAAGCTTTGGTAGATGAAATTTTGATCTGACTCAACTACGTGACTTGGATATTGCGTGACAATTGTGAGACTTGCCCTTGAACATGACAAAAGGAAGAACTGCCTGTCTACTACTGTTGACTCTCCTATAACGCATTTACCACTTGTAGGAGATACCTTCACTTATACCATTCTATATGTGACTACCCGTGACTGAGAGATCAGTTGTTATGAAAGTACAAATTCGATGTCAATATATGATAGCGAATAGTAATAGATCAACAGGTTAGAGATAGGGTACACTGCAAATCAATGAAGAGCATAGGGAGATACCTGGATTAGTAATAAACAAAGATAGTCTAGGAGCGGAACTACTTAGAGAGCAGCTGAATCTATGTGTGAGGAAGGTCGCATCTCATGCAGTTTGTGGGCTGACAGATTCGCCGATCGATCTCTCACCGGGCACGATGGGCGTAACGACCGTCCGCTCCACATTATGAATGCAATATGTCATCGAAGTGGTGCGCGATGCTCACCACCCAAGCTTCATTATCTCACTCGCATGCAATCCTTCCCTTGTAGGCACTGCGCCCGCGGAGATTATATGGTTTCTTGCTTCCCGTTGTGCAGCTTGCTTATTTATTCCTTGGCAGTTTCAAGGGTCTACAGCCACCTCAATAGCATGGAATTCAATGGGATGATGTGATTGATGATGGGACATTACGACCCCGAGTAGAATTGGGAGCATAGCATAGTCATAGGTCGTGCAATTTAGCCAGGATTATCTCTCTGGATGCACAGTGGCAAATTCTAGCCCTGGGCGGGATAGTTTCCAAGGCTGATCTAGGCACCAATGAAGCGGAAGTGTAGTGAAACTCGGAGTTGGCTTGCATCATTGCTGTGCGAATCTTCCGGGCGATCATTGTTACTCGACCGTGCTGATTGCATGTCTAATTCCTATCTATATCCTACCCCTCTCAGCAGTGAAAGAGCATAAGCAGGTAATACCGTGTTGGCGCACACGCCACCTATGCGGCTATTCCTTCCCGTTGTGGTACAGATGGACACCCGGGCCTCAGGGCAAGGTTGTGTATCGCCAGATTTCAGCTATGCAGGGTCTATCTGCATTGATATGACAAGTTCGAATTGGGTGATCCGTACCCATGCAAGAGTTCCATGATGCGTTGAACCCTTGCCGACAAGGAATAATGTGTCTCAGTCGGTGCTTGACTTTACGACCCAAATGGTACTGAAACTGACATTGGACTCCTCAAGGCCGTTGGAATGACAGCATGGTCCCTTGGCTGATCTGTCCGATATATTCTCGCATTACACGGTAGGTCTGAGACAGCTACACCAATTCTTCTTCCCGTATTGACGATTTGACGATACATCATGATATCCTATCTGAAAACCAGCTATCCACTCGTGGTGACGTTGGCGCTGTGTAACGTGCCAAAGTTAATCTAATTATAGCTGGTTCTACAATGATCCCCATCATTGTGGTAGCCGCCTCTAACGCGGTCTTTGTAACCTCAAATCGTGTCTTGCATTGAATAATCTGATGAAGCAGTTAGTTCAGACAGATAGTAGAGCAGTCTGGATCCGATACGTGCGATGACGCACGTACACATGGCAAGGGAAGATGTAAGGCTTTCCGCCCAGAATCAGCATTACGAGAAAAGAACCAACATACCTTCTCATCCGGGGTTCCCTTGCATCTTGCATAACCTAACCATCGGTCATGTTGCTTCTCAGAACATGACATATCCATTGTCTTCGTGAAATGTAGGTCATCAGAGCTGCTTATTCGTCAGGTTTCTTATGCCTTCGTAAAGTCAGCATCTAGGTCGTATGCACGACATGCATGGACTTTGGACGCCTAATCCTGCGCCAGGCATATAAAAGCCTCCTCTCTGGCTTTGTGGCGGCTTCAATTCCAGGCTTCAAAGTGTCATCAGATTTATCAGTACCAATCGCCGACTCCTTCTAACAATTTGACAACTAAGAATATCACCTTCAAAATGCAGTTACTCCTCCTCCTCGCTGCAACTTTGAGTCTCGGTGCAGGAACTCTGGCTTCCCCTGCACCGGTTTCTAACAGTATCGAATCACGGGCTTATCATTGGCATGGTTGTGGCGCCGGTATCGAGGTATGTCTTACATGCTTGCATCTACCTTTAATAGATGCAAAGCTAGATCGTGAGCTGTTACTGACTCTGCTTGAAGTGCCATTCTGCCACTGACTGTTGGGCTTCCGAGGATTGTGTGCAGACTGCCCTTGGTGTGAGTTTATCATGTCAGTCTATATAGTTACTAAGAAAATTGACCTCGTATGTGCAGAGCACCGCCAATATCCACTGTGGACAAGATAGTTACCCCACGGCTTGCTGGGCGGTAAGTCACAGTTTTTTGGTCTTCTCCTTGCTCTACAGACTTTTCTTTTAGCTTTCGAATTTTCTTCTTTATCCACCTTTGCTATAAGGTGTTGAATATGGTGATCGATATTCTGACAGCCCTCTGTAGGATTGGACCGATTAGATGTTGGGCTTCTGGGCAAGGGTTGGCTTGAATCAACTGCGAGCTGTGCGACTGTCAGAGTTGGGAAGGTTTCCTAAGATGATTGAATTTCTCGGGGATACGGTTATTGTGTGCTCTATACACTTGTTGCAGAAAGAATGATTAATGGCACATCCTTGTCAACTTGGACGCTTGAAGGCCATTCTATGCCTTTCGGGTTCCGTAAGAGCAACAGGAGCCATAGGCATCTAGTTATCAAAAGACCATTAGCTGCGATCAGAATCAAATTGCCAATTGTTGCAATTCCCACATTTGTTTCTCTCTTCAATCAATAACATTTCCATTACTGGAGCGACCATTTCGGAGTGGAAACAGCCGGAGTGGATTGTGCATCGTTCACAAGTTTGTGATTGTTGTATGAACTTCTCCATAGGAATAGTCTGATAAATACAGAGGAACATTCTTTAGGCTAAGGATGCCTTAGGCGAGTTGGTTTTGTAACTCGTTTGTTGTATCGCTGAATCAGCACTTGTGCACCTCGGATTGAGAAGGAAAGGAGAGGATGCACCGATGCTTGATTTAGCTATGTATCAGATACAGACACGACTCTAGTCTCGAGCTTATTAATTCTGGTCTGCAGAGAGATTAATGCAAGTCATATGATTCGGTTCGGAACTGATCGCCTGGTTTATTTGCACAGCAATCGTGAGACAATTACTAGAGCCCTGTTGCTAGTACCCATCCACCCCAAAGCCGAATACTTGACCTCCATCCAGAGGTTAGCAGCACATCAGTGCAAGAACACTGTGCCAAACTGGTGTCCTGCTTACAGCATTTAGGCAGATGCATATCGGGGTACGTGGCTGAATTATCGATGAAAAGCTCACTGTGGGTGAAAAGAGAACCTCATATCCAAATGCATCCCCGGTGCTTTCCTAATGAGAAAACAGCCCATAGCCGGCTTCATCTCAACTACTCCGAGCTGTAAGCCCGATCCGCCAAAAATGATACAGATTTGGGCAAATTGGACATGGAATCTTGCAGCCTTTATATCCTTTGAAGCAATCCTTGCTCCCTTGTTACCTTTCATTTAATTCTTAATTCAAGTACAACGATACTATTTCCGTTTGACAGTACAATATTAAGCGATCAAGAGCCGATGGTACCCGGACGCAAGATACTCTCGGAGTAATAACTCCGTGGTGGCGTACATTGGGCTGCTCCAGTAAACAATCTATCTTGACGCGCACTAATTCCGAAGCAAACTTAAGCTGTTTGATGCAGAACGTGAGCCTGTTGGATTCTAAAAGTAAGGCCGGCTCGGTTGACTATAATATAATGTTCAGTGTATTGTTTTCCCTCTCCTTCCCTTTACTCTTTTCTTCCTTCCTGTGTTCTCCAATTCGATGTTAACGGGCGGTAATGTGCATAGGCTTTAGCTTTTAAGAGCGAGGTAATAAATATTTGCTACCAGTTTTTAGAAAATACAAGCTGTTCTTACTCATAGCAAGAGGGAATTAAGCTCTATGCTGTACTGAAAGAGAAGAACAAGGGTCACCTGGAGCTTAGAGCACGCTATGCTGCAATATGACTAACGCGGAACCCAGAACTGGCGAATGTGAACTTGACCATAGCCGGATGTCCGGCTTCCGGGTATTCAAGAAGCAGCAGCAGAGCAAGCATTAGTATGACTTGTGATGTGTCGGTCGATACGGCCTATTGATGAAGAAAGCGGGCATACAATTCTACGGCTGGAGAAACTCAAGCATGGCACTTTGCAATCGGACCAGCCAGTATGTCAGTCCGCTGGAACTCACGGCTTTCTGGAAGTTTGGCAACTCTAGTAATGTCTTGAAATCCACTACTTGCAATCAAGCGCAATTAGAAAGGATTAACTTGCGCATGGGTCTGGTTTGTCATGTGTTTGATCACAGACGATGGTGCAGCTCGCTGAATTCTCATTCTTCGTCTTTGGCTTCTAATTTTATCCTATATTGGTCAGTTGAGTATTCCATAGTTCTCATGATGTGGATATAAAGCCCGTGAGGCCTGTCCAGATATAGAATCGCCCTTTTCTCTCAGTCTCCTCTTTAGCCTACCCTGTCGCTTTTCTATTCAGCCTCCGCACAATGGAAGCCTTTGATCTCTCCGCTGCTCCCCCAGAATTCGCGGTCTGGGCACCAACAGTCTATGCCCTTAATGCTTACACCAACATAATCTGGCTCTATGTGTACTATGGCATGATATACCGATCTTACAAAGACAAGTCCTTTGCCATGCCACTCATTTGCCAGTGTCTCAACATCGCATGGGAGATCACCTTCGGTTTTCTATTCTCTCTAGACCACTGGCTAATCAGTCTTACCTTCCAAGTCGCCACGATAAGCAACTTTGGCGTCATCTTCGCGGCGATCAAGTATGGGTCCAGAGAATGGGACCGATCCCCAATGATACAACGCAACTTGCCTTGGTTATATGGCGGTGGGATATTACTGGCAATTGCAGGGCACACCTGTCTTGCGTCAGAGCTCGGCATGGTGAAGGCTTGCTTCGCGAACGCAATTGTATGTCAGGTTATTCTGAGTGTTGGGTATGTCAGTCAGCTTTTGGTTCGAGGAGCCACGCGTGGATTTTCCCTTCAATTATGGTTCGTATACCCACATCTCGAAGACAGACAAATTAGGATTGTTGAAGATGGGCTAACCTTCGAGTCAGGTTCTTCCGGTTCACGGGCTCGTTGACTCTAATCCCGGAGTTTTACCTTCGTATTAAGTATTGGCCTGAGGCTTTTGGATGGCTGGGCGAGCCTTTTATGCTCTGGTGCTGTTATCTCTATCTCGGCTTTGATTTGGCATACCCAGTGCTCTTTTGGTATATACAACGACGGGAGAAGGAGGAGGCGATGGCCAAGGCTCTCAAGGACAGGTAGCACTATGCCTTCATAATTCTAAGATAGAAGGCGGTATGATGCTGAAGGCTGGTAGAGGTTTGCGGGGGGGGGCTCTACCTTTATAAAGTTGTACTTGAGCCGACCGTACCTATTAGCAGATAGAAGAGGGCTAGGCATGGGGGTTTCTTTCCCTTTTGTGTGTGTGTGTGTGTGTGTGCGTGCGTTTCCAGTCTATTTGTCCAGCCCTAATTGTTATTTATTATTGGAATCTGTAGCTCACTTTGCTACTTACGAGCTGTACTATATCTCTCTCATTTCGCTGAAAGATTCGATGAATATGTTCCGATCCAAGTTATCTAATACCATCTCCCCCGCATATCCTCTAGAAAGCTATCCGAAACCTGACAATTTTCACGCATGGATATCACTTTCATTCCAAGTGACACTAATAGTTACATCATATATGGGTGGCTACATAGGCCTAGCAGGATAGCAGGAAGATAAAGACCTTCTTTGTCGAGACATTTTCAATTATCAAATATAAGAGTTCGTTCGACAGATTTTGTATCATCTTTCTTCATCATCGATACCTTTCCTATCTCCCTTGGGGGACCATCCAACTTATTCAAAATTCGATGGATTTATATGAACGAAAAAAATTGGTTAGATGGATTCTCTGAATATCTCCACGGCATCGAATTACTTGTAAATGAGAGACACCCTACCCAACAAGGGTGTAATTAACGAACCTCAAATCATGCCTGAAGGTGTGAGTGTTGTCCAGCCTCGGCCCACAAGGCTGTGCTGTAGATGTACGTATTAGTTGTCAGTGGGGGCCAAAGACAGACAGGAATCGACCAGACTAGACTAGACTAGACTAGACCAGACCCTTAACACCTAAGTACCCAGTCCAGTAATGTAGGGTATTACACAAACGGAAGTCATCCATCTCCGAAGATGTGCCAACTAATCATTGATCTCAGGTCAGGTGCCAATACTCACTCACAATAATGTCAGTGACTGACTGACCCTGACTACTGCCTGGTCATCCTTAATGCCTGCTGAGCGGGTGTCTGTCTACTTTAGACTTTACGGGTCAGGAGATAACTAACCTACTCTAGATAGAGAATCTCCAATCAAAGAACTTGTGGCCGTCAGGGTTCCATGAGTACCGCCAACGGTTAGACCCGTGGGTATTATTTCCTTGGGTGAGTACTAAGTAGTGAGCGGAATTCTCCTATCGAGGAGTGAAATTTAATAAGATAACAAACAAAGTAAGTATCTATCGAAAAAGCAGGCTGAAGTTGGTGCAGGATGGTGTGGAGAGATTGATGACTGGCGTGGGTGGCGCTTTAGACGCCCAACCTCTCTCTCTCTCTCTTTCACTCACTCACTCGCACAATGGAAGATGCCGTCTTTTGGACGGACTGCTAGAAGCTACTACCAACATCCATCGACTAACCATCTGTTGGTCACTTAAATGGCTGTGATGGGATAGACCAATCTCACTCTTTACTTCCTATAGCTAGACCACCTACCCTACACAATACTACAGTGTCAATAGCCGCCCATCGCCTGTCAATTGTTCTATAAACAGAATGTTTAATTCGACTCCGTAGTAGTAGCTTCAGCGCTTCTGCATGAAGGGGGTCGAGCTTCGCGTAAAATCGAGGACTCTCTGCCTATGATCAAAGACACCAGTGGGAAAGTACCTGAATCCTTAATTGTCGCCGCCCGCAGCTGATCCCCAAGGCGGCCCAATCTTTGCCAATCCCCCACTTCAGCTGAGCGAAGCGCCCGCGTTTACGAGGCACGAGGGGCCGGTTTTTTCTTGTTTTCGCTCTTATTATTTGACCACTTCTTTTTCTTCTTCTCTTTTCTTCTCTTCCTTCTTCCTCTTTGTCCATTTCTCACCTACTTCTTTACTTTCAATCTGACTTTCATCGTTGAATTGTCTTGAATTTCAGCAGCATCAGCATCTTGTTCTGCTCGAGATCAGGGTTGCCAGTCTCCCGCCACACCACGGCTGATTTGCTGCCCACTTATCGACGTCACACCCCACCAGCCTATTCATCTGACCCTCTACTACTATACTATCCACGCACACAGCAAGTTGCTCATATAATCATAGAAGAGGGAGGCGGGATATAGGCGGAGCAGATACAAAACGCAAAAAAAATCACCGCCATGTATTCCTCCTATCCTAGAGGACGGCACCTTCTCACCGATTCGGAGTCTGACTTCTCCGAATCGGATTACTCCATGGTAGAGACGACTCCACGCCGGAAAGTCACTACTCGTCGACGCTCCATCTCCCGCCACCGCTGGAGTCCCGAACACATCCATAGTAACACCTACCTCAGCCCCGTGATCCATGACCACCACGCGCCTCAACGCTCCGCCTCCACGGGCGCCCGTCGTCGTCCCGATCGTGACCGCGAGCGCGAACGCAACAACCAGCCCGTCGCCGTCATCGTCGACGTCCACAACAAGTATGACGCCAAAGCCGACGCCAAGACAGATGCGAAGAGCGATGCCAAGAACGACGCTCGTAACAAGAGTGCCACCAAGAACCGGAAACAGGAACACAAGATGCAGCAGAACTACATCGATCCCTACGAGTCGGAGGATGAGACCAGGTTGCGGGATCATCGACGAGCTCGCACTCGCCCGAGTAGTATCTCCCGGGAGGCATCACCGCTCCCACCTACCAGGGATTATGAGCTGATGCTCGATACGCGGTTCCTCGAGAGGAACGATGCCCGTCAGGACCTGGAGCTCCTGCGTCATCAGCAGGAGATCGCCCGTTTAGAGCGGGAACTGGCTCGTCATCGTGAGACTTCCCAGCATCGTCAACAGCAGCAGTTGCAGCCGCAGCAGCCTCCCCCGCCTCCGCCGGCGCCGGAGCATGAGCATCGCTCACCTCCTTCTCACCATCATCACCATGAGCTCCGGCTGCTGAGGGAGGAGGATCTGTACGAGGATGAGATCAGTGAGCGGCTGCGACGGCTGGAGCGGTACGAGAAGAAGCAGCGCATGGAAGAAGAGCAGCGTGAGGCAGAGCATCGCTACCAACTCATCAAATTCGAAGAGGCCCAGCGTAAGGCTGCGGAGCAGGAGGAGCTCAGCCAGAAGATGCGTCAACGGAAGCTGGAAGAGATCCAGCGCAAGATGGAAGAGGAGGAGGAGAAGGAGCGCATCAGGAAAGAGCTTCGTGATGAAGAGGCCAGGCGGATCCTGGCTGAGCAGGAGCGCGCCCGCAAAGAAGCCGCGATGAAGCAGGCCGCTATCGAGGAGTGGAAGCTGAACGAGGAGCGGAGAATGATTGCCGAACGGGAAGAGAGAAAGAGACGTGATGCCGAATTCAAGGAGAGACTACGACTCGAGTTCGGCTATGACGAAGAGCAGCTGGAGAAGATCATCAAGAAGGAGAAGGAACCCGAGAAACCTAAGGAACCGGAAAAGCCCAAGGAGGAGCCTGAGAAGCCAAAGGAACCTGAAAAGGAGAAGGAGAAGGAGAAGGAAAAGGAACCTGAGCCCCAGCGGACTACTTGGATCAAGGTATGCAATCATCCCCCGCCCCCCATAACCCTATTGAGGCTGTTCATCTAACTCACTGGCGCAGGTCCACCGCAAACATCTTCTCCCCGACACACTTATTGCCTACCGTCTACCCTGGGACTGGGACGAGGTAAGTTGAACCCTAAACACTCTAGATACCGTCGACGATGACTGACAGTGAACAGCTCGACGGCAACTACATCATCATCAAGCAGTGGATCTCCGAGGACTTTCAGGAGGAGCTGTTCGCTCACTCGCGGCGTCTGCGTGAGGGCAAGCTTGTTGCTCAGCACTCGAGCACCCTGACCGAGCTGAAGGTGAATGACCGAAAGAAGGACAAAATGTACCTGGTCCGCAAGAAGAACCCCGGCTCACGTGCCTGGATCTTCACTTGATCTCGCAATTTTCTTGACGCGCTACGAAGTGTGATACCATGATTTGATGAGTCTGATTTGGTTCTTGTGTTCTCTTGCCTCGTCTGTCAATATTTTGTTCTCTTCTTGTTCATTTGCACAGCTATCCTATACAAGATGTTGGCATAATGATTTGTCGAGTCATGATGTCTTGATTTTTCGTTCCATGAGTTGGGATTTGAACAGTTGCTATATATATGATACAATGATGATGATGATGACCAAACGTCGACCCATGCAGTCCGTATCCGAGGCCCTTTTATACCCATAACAATAACAAACTCCGGCCCTAACTAACCCCTTCCCTTCTAAGGAATCTAAAACAGAGAACCTTACTATAATCTACAGACAGCCTATTCTCCCTTTGATCCCCACTGGACTTCGGCCCTCAGAATCAACTCCTCGTAGACCGTCCACGCAAGCGCAGAACTAAGCGCTTTCCTCGTAATCCGCAGCCCCAACCCGCCAAATAGACTTCTTACTCCATCCTCTTGCACCATCAACCTCACCGCCCGCATCATGTTCCCATACCGCCCCGGCATCAGCTGCAACCGGGTCTTGACCGCATCGAATGGGTTTGTAATGGTAGTGGCCAGCCCGGCCGCCAATCCCCCAGAGACGAAATTGATTGATGACGACTTCAGTGGCTGCTGATCAGACGAAGAACCTGATAAGCCCGCCAGTCGCCGTTTCAACTGCTCGTAAAACAAAACGTATAGTCCTGCATACGGCGCATCACGCGCCGCTGTAGCTCCAAATCCGGAAAACAGGCCCCGGAATCCCTCTGTCCGGACTATATCTCGCCCCGCGCTGAAGAGACTCCGATAGGCGTAGTAGTCTGATTCGTAACGAACTTTTAGCACGGTCACTGGCATCATGACGAAGCCAGCAGCAACCCGGGCGGCAGCCCCGGTAGCTAGATTGGCGGTGTTGGACAGTTTGGGCAGTGCGGAGGAGCTATTGGTGACGGGAGCAATGCCATTCGATTGAGCGAGACCCGTGCGAAGTGCGTTGAGGCTCGTAAAATACAGTGCTGAGCCGAAACCCGTGCGAAGGGCGGAAGGGAGTGTACCACGCCATAAATTGCGGATTGGATTCGGAGAGGAGAGGATGGCCTGGAGGGTTGGAAGGAGGGAGGCGTTTTGAGATTGTTGTACACGGGTTTTGAGGAGATCAGCGGGTTGGAGAAGGATGGAGGAGGTAAGGCCCGAGAAGAGCCCTGCGGTGAAGTGGAAGGTCGTCTTAGAGGCTGTTCGATTGATCGTTCGTTAGGGTTTACTCAATGGAGAAAATAGTAGATGAGTGGCCATACAGGTTGAGGTGGTTTTCACCTGCGGTACAG